TCTAAATATTATTTTATTTATTTATTTTTTTTTTATTTACTTAGATTGTCCATTTCCAAAATGGAGTCCCCCTGAATGTGAAATGGACTGTCCTGTGTGTTATAACGGTGGAGTTTGTGACGACAAGAATGGTGTATGTATTTGTCCTGCTGGCTTCAGAGGAGATAAATGCGAAACAGGTAGGCGTAGACTATTTCTGATGTATTCGATTATACCATGGAGGTATTATTGAGAAGGAGATCACTCGGCAAAGCCATGCGCACGCAGCGCTATGCAAATGAACCAAGATAAAAGTTTCCGCAGCCCGTAAAGAACGTTTGCGCGATGTCTTTGAAGTCCCATGTGTTCCCCGCCATCAAATTTTCAGCAGGAATAGTTGACCAGAAAATTTAACACGACGAAATGGAGAGCACCTTCTTTTCTCAATGCGCACTACATACTGTCAATCACTATGGTGCGCAATCTTTTCTATTTTGAAGCTTATACATTTATCTCTCATAAAATATCAAACATATTAATATTTTCCACCAAGAAAAGTTTCGAATTTAATGGAACATTTACATGACCTATAAAAGTATAGTATATTTCAACTTCAATTTTCATAAATTGGCCAAAATTCGCCAATTCTAATTTTAACAGATATTAATTAATAAATGATTAAGGATTATAATAATTTTAGGGTTAACGAGGGTTAACTATTCGAAAAATCTGAGTATTTTTCAGTTTTACGCTGACTTAGCTTTATAGTCGAACCAGTCAATCTTTAGACAAAATTATAATGAACACAGAATTAATTTTAACATAAATATTTTACGGGATCCGTTCCTGAAATATACAAATAATAACATACTAAAAGTTTTTTTAATTTTAAACCTGTTGGTTGGTCATTTAAAAACCCATATATGGAGAATAATTAAATTATCGCTTCCGCGTTAGCGCCCCCAACTACGAGAATATCTAAAATGTATAATAGTGACCAACAGAGGGCTCACTACTTATTGTCTATATTGAAACCGCCGTGGCGATTCAAAAGCGGGGAACACATAGGTTTGTCGCGTCAAAGGGACTGTTGCCAAGTGATCTCCTTTTTAAAAAATACCTCCATGATTATACACACGTAATGTATAATCTGGAGCGCATGGGTTTTTTTTTTTTTTTTAACCGGATTCATTGAAGAAGTTTATTCGTATTCTTAAATAATGCAATAATAATGTTATTAATTCTTCTTTAATCCAAGTCAAAAAATATTTCTTTGTACGATTTATGCTTCCTGTTTTTACTTTATTGTTTAGGTTGTGGGTCAAACAACTGGGGACGTAATTGCGATGTCTTATGTAGTAGTACTGGTTCTAATAAAGATGAAGCTTGTAGAGGTGAACTATTTTGTCCGCCTGATCCTGTCGGTTGCGCGTGCATAGACGGATACGGAGGCAACAATTGCGATAGAGGTTTGGAAAGTTATAGCTGTTTCTGTTTATAAATTAGATGCTCCAATTGTTCCTTACAGTTCTAGTTATGTCAGAATTACAATATGATTATTAGCAAGCATTCAGCATGTGAGGAATCATCCATGAACACAGATAAATCAACGCATTAGATTTCAAATTACCTGAGTATGAAAAATTGCCTTGCCCAGGACACCAAAAAATAACCGGAACTAGGATTTAGTGTGCATAATTTAATTGAAAAGATAAACGTAGCATTGTCGCTCAACACATGTCTTTTCACGGAACTGAAATATACTCTAAACAAATACCATTTTTTTTTCTGTTATTTTTTTCAGCATGTGATAGCAGTCACTATGGTGCAGACTGTCGCCAAGTATGTCACTGCAATTCAGGAGGATGTAATAGAAAAACAGGGACTTGTTCATCCGCGTGTTTGGCCGGTTACACGGGACCAGCTTGTCAAGGTATATTCAAGTTTTGTTTGTTAAGTTATGAGTATTAGCAATTTGATTTATAATTATTTTAAAAATTAGCAAATGATTTTCTAAAAAAAAAAAAGCACACTCAATTATTCCTATTTAGAATTATTAATCTTCATAAGTTACAAAGTTAAAAAAATATCGTAATTACAATATATCTTGTTTTGGAATTTAAAAGTTCATTAGAAAATTTAGTTAGCCTACAGTGTTGTAATAAGCGTCAATATTCATATTTAGTGCTCAATCTGCAAGTTAATACAAAGGTAATATCAGGCTACATAAAAAAAAAATATTACTTTGTTAAATTTAAGCTAAGCAACATCATGATGTTTAAAGAGTGGAGAATTCCAATAACATTATTATATGCTAAATACAATGAAACAACTGAATTTAAAATTATATCATTCAGATGATTAATCTGCCGCAATTGTGTGTAAATTTTCGATATTTATTCCAATAAAGCCTAGTCTTCACTACTATCATATTTTTTAAGTGGACGTTATTAACACGTAAGACAGGAAGACAATCGAATACGAAATTTAAAAATAGGATAGCATGTGAACACTAAAATGGTAATAGTTTACAAGTTAATGTAGTCCTAACTTTTACTCTTAGACTCAACATCTGAAGATAATAATGATGCTTAAATTTCTTTTAGAACTAATGCCTAATCAGACCTGTGAGTCTGGTGTTTTTGGTGTCTTGTGTAACTACCCATGTCATTGTAAAGACTCGGCTGATTGTAATCGCGATGGGAGCTGCGACAATGGATGTCACGAAGCATGGGCTGGTAAAGACTGCAGCATAGGTAACGATACACGTGCAATTTACTTCAGCAACTCCAATGTGACGTTATTTTTTTTACTTATTTCTCCAAAGCCTTTGACTGCCTTTCTTAAAACCAACTCATATACAAAAAAAAAAAATAAATAAATAAAAAATGCATTATATGTTAATTTATTAAGTTAACTAATAATTATCTTATGAATCGCAGTCAGCTGCAATTATTAATGTTTTTTGTACTGTTTGAAAACCGTTCCTTATGGTGTGTAAATTGTATTATGTCGAAGAGTAGCCTGCTAGCCTTACATTCGGCTCCATTTTTAACCATCCTATAAGTCAAGCAGGTATGTCAGAAAACCCTGCACTCTGTGATAAAAGCATGAATCTTGGCACACATGTACTAGGCCTATGAACTATATCAAATATTTTCTGGTAGGAACTTACGTCAGCAGCGCCCTCTTTCGGCCCAATATTTTAAATTTCTCATAAAATTGTCTTACAAATTCTTTTTATATAAAAATAATGGTAAACATGCTTAAAAGTATTAATAACAAATAGTTTCGGTCTTTTCAGGTAAAAAAAAAAAACTTCTATTTCAGTGTTCTAAAGTGGCGAAAATTTCAATATTATATCGGCTGTTTTATTATGCAACATATTTTTATAAACCTGTCTGATGTAGTAAAACATAACAATTTATTTATTTTTATATAATCATATTTTAATTTTCATTAATTTTTGAATGATATATAAAATTTGTTAGGTAGATCATTTTGCTATAATCCTCAAGGAATAAATGGAATCTAGGTATCAGTATCGAAACTAAACAATATTTTAACATGTGTACAGAGTACGTATAACTGCACATACAGTGAAAAACTACTCTGCTGCTTAGCAACAGGAACAGATGTTATAAAATATACACTATTTAGGAGCATAGTGCTACTGTAATATAATATATTATATTTGTCTCAGATATTATACTGTGCACTATGTTATTCTTTTTACCGTGTGAAACAAGCTGAGCTGCAAATGAGTACAGTTCCTGGCATTATAATAATACAATAAAACTCATCTATAGGGACAACTAAAGAGAAGAAAGAAGAACAGTAAACCATGGATAAGCACACAAAGCTGGAAGCTCTATATACCATAGAAAAGAAGGGAATTGAGGATGTTGTAAAGTTCACATACCTTGGAGCGACAGTCAGCAAAAGTGGTGGTGCAGGAGAGGATAAGAGGCAAAGGATTGGAAAAACCTGGGGTGCATTTAAAAAGCTGTCCAAGATATGGAGGAGTGGACAATTAACACACAGGATCAAATTCAAAATTTTCAAGTTCAATGTGATCAGTGTTTTATTGTATGGATGAGAAGCGTGGAAGATGACTAAATGTGATGAGGATAGACTAGACACATTTTTACATAAGGCACTGAGACAAACATTGAAAGCACGTTGGCCAATGCGGATTACAAATGCAGAAATCAGACAAAGGGCAAACATTCAAACCATTAGTGAAATAGTAAGAAACAGGAGATGGAAGTGGATTGGACATGTGCTACGCATGGAAAGAAATGACATACCAAGAGTTGCTTTAACACCAGAGGGCAGAAGGAATGTGGGAAGGCCAAATGAAAATTGGAGAAGAAATGTTGAAAATGAAAGAAACCAACAGGGATATCAATCGTGGACAGAGGCAGCAATAGCAGCTCAAGACAGAGGAACCTGGAGGAGGAGAGATGCTAGAAACCCTATTTTCCACTCGGAGACAAGGAACTAGAGAGATAGGGGCAACTCTATTATTGAGAACAAAGGAAAGATATCTGTTAACACTACTGCCAAGCTTAATGACAGGAAACCATTACTGACGGGGACACCTTCCGAATGTGCCTTATTGTCAAATCAATACATATTTAACGCATATATAACTGCAGTATTCTTAAACTATGAAAAAAAAAATTATAGTTTAACACGTTTTCAACAATAAACTTAATTATCAAACTGGAATGCTTTTCTTGTTAATAACAAGAACGGACATTAAAATATTAACGAAGTACAGTAACATATGCATTATGCTTTACTAATGGTACATGCGTTACTGTACTTCATTTAAATATCAATCTTATAATTTTGAACATTAACAATGCTATTTCTTGTTCATTGTATTTTCACGTTTGATTATCTATACAGCACAACCTTAAACGATATTGAAACATACAGATGTTGTTGTTTTAATTACACTTCGGTTGATTTCATATACAATAATTGTTTGTGCATTGCAAATATTGTTACAATCTAATTATATCATCATTGTACGAAAGCATGCCAAAAACCCCTATTAATGGAAATATTACCGTTTTGGTTACTGTGTTCCACAATAGCGGTAGCCTTAATCAAGAGACACCATTATTGGGAGGACACACTTTTTTTTTGTCGCGAGCGTGTCACTTAATAGGGGTTCTACTGTTAGAAAAGCAGCACTCAGATACAACAGACATGCCAAAACAAGTGGTGGAATTTTATAGGTCAGTGTCAGAAACTAGAACTGCATAATTGCTACATTAGGATAATATAACTACTTGTTACAATGTTGGTACATTTTTTTAACTTGCAGTGGTTGATAAGCATGTACAATAACTTTTCACTGTATGGCAGTCATGCGTACTCTGTACATTAGTTTGCATTACATTAGTTGATTTTGCTATTAGTTTTGCTACTGGTACCTCAATTTTATTCAGTTATGGGTTATAGTAAAATGATTTAATAGTGTTTACCATTTACAAGCTGATTAAAAATAGAATATATTGTTAAAAAAATTAATAATTTCTAATAATTTATTTTTCATTCTGAGGTTTACTATTGTTACCATTTGCAAGCTAAATAAAAATATAATATATTATTAAAAAAAATAATAATTTCTAAAATTTTGCATTCTGAGATTTACAGAAAACAGCCAATAAAATTCTGCAAATGTTTATCTTGTTGGCGCTATAAAAGGATTAAAAGACTGAATCTATTTGACAATATTACCTTTAAGCATAATTATCATTAACCTTATTCATAAAAGTAAAGAATTTGTAGTAGCCTACGAATTTGTCCTACATAAATATGGCTAGAATAGAAATTTTGTTTTTTACGTTTATAGACCTATACAATATGTCACTAATACTTATATTATTGTGACTACTAGGCCTATTAATTATATAAATAAAGAATTAAGATTGATTTTAAAGTACAATTTTATTTTCAATATTGCTAAAAATAGAAATTGACCATTTCTGACCAATAGATGGCGCTGTTGACTTGAGTCCCTACCTGAAAAAAAAAATCGCTATGGCTCATAATGCATGTTTGCCAAGTTTCATGCTTTTATCAAAAAGTACACGATTGAACCAAACTCTTGTGACTAAACTGCTGCACTATGACGCAGTATCAAGACCATACAAATCAGCAAAAATTATGAATTCCGACGGTAAAAAGTCGTCTTAAGCCAGGCACTCACTGCGACCAACGGTCATCTTCCGACGCTATTCTATGAAGAATGCTACGCGACGACGCGTGCACAACAGATTCTTTTTAATGAGATCCGTTCAGACTGCCACCAAAGATAATAAATAGCAGAAGATAGTGGAACATCCGTTCAAAGGGCATTGTGGGTACACGGACAGCAATTTTACCTCATCCGCACGGCGGCGCTATATAGTAATAACAAAAGCGCTGTTCTGGTTCGTTTGTTTCCTGTAGTTTCTCCACTTAGTAAAATGTTCAAATTTTACCGGAATGGCGGATCTTCCATCAATTTTAATACAAATACGCGGAGCAGCTCATTCTTCTGCTATTTAAGTTCTTTGGTGCCACTGACAGCGTCGCGTCTTCTAGCACTTTCAAGGAGCAGAGTCGGATTCGACGTGCGATGGTCGTACAACCGTCGAAATAATAAAGTAAGAACTTATATAGCGCCATTTAAAAAACCGAAGTAATTATCAGTGGCGCTTCATGTTATTGTTGGAATAAGTGCGTTTTGAGTGATTTTTTAAATAAAGGAATTGATGGTGATTTTTTTTATGTGAAGTGGTAGTGCGTTCCAGAGTGTGGCTGCAGCAAATGAAAATGATCTGTGTCCGAAGGTCTTAGTGTTAGTGCGAGGGACAGAAATTAAATTGAGATCAGATGAACGTAGGGAACGGCCAGGCACATATTTGGGAAGAAGTTGATTAATGTATGCGGGTTGATTGAGAGTCAGTGACTTATTAGTCAGTAAAAGGATTTTATATTGAATTCTGGCATCAATTTGTAACCAATGAAGTTCACGTAAAATGGGGGTTATATGAGTGCGTCTGTTAGTAAATGTTAGTATGCGTGCAGCAGAGTTTTGTAGTCGTTGAAGCCTGTTAATTTGGATTTTAGGAATGTTAAATAAAAGAGAGTTGCAATAGTCAAGTCGGGAGAAAATGAAAGCGTGAATAATCAGAGCCGTAGTTCGTTTTGATAAGTATTTTCTGATAAGTGCTATATTACGTAGATGAAATGCGGAATGAGTGTCCGGCTTTTAATTCGTAATTGCTTGGATTGATTTTAAGTTTTTTAGGTTTGTTTCTGTTAATTCTAATAATAGCCTAATTCTATTAATTTTTGTTTTTGTCCTGTTTTAAATGTCCCTTTTCTAAAGTAGATGTTGGTAAACGTACTTTTTAGAGTTGATGTGTGTAGACGTAGTTTTCTTTCTATGATTTCAATGAAATTAAATTCTTTTTCTTCTACAAACGATAATGATATATTTTTATAACAGTTTTTTTTTTCAATCTTTCGGACTCTCGTACTTCACAATTTAAAAGGTCTCTTGGTTATATGTTTATAATATATCAATTTCAAGAGATAATACTAAAATCGTGACAAAAAATAACGCAATTTCTCGAAAAATACAAAAAAGAAAAATTGCTCTAATAATGAGGCAAAAACAGGCATTACAGAACAGGCCCCCGGTCGGGAAGAGCTGCCCCACCCCCCGTTGTTGAGAAAAAGTACAATTCATCGGGGGATGCATACAAGTTCTAAAACATCTTTATCCAAGCATAGCTTCTGAAAAGTGTTGTCATTGATGAGGCAACTATTATTTCCAATTTTTTCATGAAGTTCTTCCCTCTCCTGGACAGCAAATACTGCCCTTCACTGTTTTTGGCTTTGGATGGGTCTTGCCTCTGGTTCAAAGGCATATGCTCGCCTTTGCGATACACGCCTAACCCTTGAGCTTTCACTTCCCTTCATGGCTTAATTTATAATTTAAATCAATGTCTATCCTATCTGTAGGCCTGTCTGCATTCTCTCTCGTTCCTACATTTTAATCGACACCTCGCTTCGTCGTCGCATCGCACCGATCGCACATAGAAACAATTGACCGAAAAAAAACTATGCAATTTCACGCATGCTCATAAACAGTACTCCCCAAAAACTGGAAAAATCCCGGTTGGGTACCGTGGGGAAGTTTTAACAATTACGAAAAAAATACGTTTATTAGTTTGTGTAAAAACATCAGAATTGAATGAAATGGATTAAAACACCCAAGAATAGTATTTTTTTTTTTTTGTGGGACTGTTATTATTTTCCAGATTTTTTTTTTTTTTGCCTCCCTTTTTGACAATTTGTGTGTAAAGGAATAGGAATTTGACTTTGTAATTTATACTATACCCCACTTTGGAATGGGCCTTTATTTTTCAATAAACACTGTGTCGCAACCGAATTCGCAAAAATTCTCAAATATAGAAAAAAAGTAATTTATGTTACGAACTGAATTATAATAATTTAACATAAAGTCGCATAATTTACTTTAAATAAATTTAATATCTTTCACCACCATTATTGTATTTAAAAAAATAAATATTTTAATGAAAATTATTTTTATTAGCACTACCTTACAGTTCCAAACCACCAACACTTTTGAATCAAACAGCAACCACCCTAAAGATTGCAGCTTGCAGCTGGGATCCAGTTCAAGACTTTGGAACAGGAAATATAACTGGATGTAATTTATGGTACAAAACATCGCGGACAAGTGCATTTATTACAGTTAATAACATTGAACATGGTGTATATACCATAGACAATCTCCTGCCACATACGACTGTTGAATTCTACACACGACATTCGAGATTAATTGGCGGCATAGAGACCGATGGACCACCTAGTGAACATGGATCAGCAGAGACTATTTGTACAAGTAAGGGTATTTATTTACTGATATTATTATCATCACCACTACCACCACTAACATTACCATTATCATTCTCATCTTTTTGCATTATCTTTATCAGTTGTAGAATTTATAATAATGTAATTGATATTAGTAAATAAAGTATAATACATATATATTTCATAGATCATCATTTAAAAGACAAACTGAGATTGTGTTGTAAAGCTTTTGACAAAATGGTTAAATAGCTCGGAATCTCAAACCTGAGGTCGAATGTTTCCTTCCGTGTACAAGTATTTTGTGCCAATTAGTTTGGCAAGACACCCTCTAACCAGGTGTCGAAATGGGAATTAACATGCTAGAAAGTAAACAGGATGACACAGCCCCACAACCCCACCTAAAGTCTTACACAGTTTTTCCCAAACGGCTATGAACCTATATAAAATGAAAATGTATTACTCACAATAATCTGATATTAATTTACGTTAAGACCACCTTGCTTTATCTCAGTTATACAGAAAAGGTTGAGATCAGTGAGCTTCCAATCCACGTCGTGGCCTCAGGCTAACGGGTGGGGATGATTGGTGGGGAGAGTGGTTGCTGGGATTCCAAACCTGTCGATGGGGGATTCCCCTTGCCTTTCAACACTGGGTTAAAGTGGTTGTGGGAGGAGTAGAATTTTAGCATGTGTAAGTATCTAAGAGTGCGTCTCATAAACTATAACTGAAGGATACTTAATTTGTGAAAGTAAGTACAAGATATTATATAATTATTAGTCAAATTAGATTTGATAACAACAAATGTGTCTTAAAAGTTCTGAGAAGGACACTACTGCATTTAGTCTATGAGAAAACAATCAAGCTCTTGAACACGACGGGAGCTGAAGTTCTAACTCCGGAAATTCGGCGACATGAGATCACACAAGTCTGAATGGGAGTCTACACCAAGGGAGTGATTGAATAATATAATTTTATTAAAGATACAGGATTAGCGATATTAGAGCCTTTCGTTTCTATTGTACTTATAGCCTATTTTTAAATACTCCTGAGCAAATAGAATGTGATGATATTCGATAGCAACTATCGTCGTGTCGTAGGCCGGGATTTGAACACAGACACACTAGTACAACGATATGGCTGCTGATCTGTATGTTTCTTTATTCTTCAACCAACTTGAATTTCAACAATCAAATCACCAGTCTCAAGTACAACATAAGAAACAAACAAAAAAAAAACCCTGCAATAAACAAAGAACTCATTGCAGTCATGTCATTTACTTATTCATGTAAAATCTAAACATCAAATAATAATAATAATAATATCACTATTAATATCACATTAATAATATCATCATAACAACAGTGGTATATAGGCTGCTTTCGAATCTAAGCATCAGGCCTATACTCCAAAATTATATATATGCTACCGTTATTCATAGCAATCAAACCACCAAAAATAATATAATTTTTTGTAAAGCTTTTGACAAAATGGTTAAATAGCTCGGAATCTCAAACCTCAGGTCGAATGTTTCCTTCCGTGTACAAGTATTTTGTGCCAATTAGTTTGGCAAGACACCCTCTAACCAGGTGTCGAAATGGGAATTAACATGCTGGAAAGTAAACAGGATGACACAGCCCCACAACCCCACCTAAAGTCTTACACAGTTTTTCCCAAACGGCTATGAACCTATATAAAATGAAAATGTATTACTCACAATAATCTGATATTAATTTACGTTAAGACCACCTTGCTTTATCTCAGTTATACAGAAAAGGTTGAGATCAGTGAGCTTCCAATCCACGTCGTGGCCTCAGGCGAACGGGTGGGGATGATTGGTGGGGAGAGTGGTTGCTGGGATTCCAAACCTGTCGATGGGGGATTCCCCTTGCCTTTCAACACTGGGTTAAAGTGGTTGTGGGAGGAGTAGAATTTTAGCATGTGTAAGTATCTAAGAGTGCGTCTCATAAACTATAACTGAAGGATACTTAATTTGTGAAAGTAAGTACAAGATATTATATAATTATTAGTCAAATTAGATTTGATAACAACAAATGTGTCTTAAAAGTTCTGAGAAGGACACTACTGCATTTAGTCTATGAGAAAACATTCAAGCTCTTGAACACGACGGGAGCTGAAGTTCTAACTCCGGAAATTCGGCGACATGAGATCACACAAGTCTGAATGGGAGTCTACACCAAGGGAGTGATTGAATAATATAATTTTATTAAAGATACAGGATTAGCGATATTAGAGCCTTTCGTTTCTATTGTACTTATAGCCTATTTTTAAATACTCCTGAGCAAATAGAATGTGATGATATTCGATAGCAACTATTTATAGTGTCGTAGGCCGGGATTTGAACACAGACACACTAGTACAACGATATGGCTGCTGGTCTGTATGTGTCTTTATTCTTCAACCAACTTGAATTTCAACAATCAAATCACCAGTCTCAAGTACAACATAAGAAACAAAAAAAAACCCCTGCAATAAACAAAGAACTCATTGCAGTCATGTAATTTACTTAGTCGTGTAAAATCTAAACGTCAAATAATAATAATAATAATATCACTAATAATATCACATTAATAATATCATCATAACAACAGTGGTATATAGGCTGCTTTCGAATCTAAGCATTAGGCCTATACTCCAAAATTATATATATGCTACTGTTATTCATAGCAATCAAACCACCAAAAAATAATATAATTTCAATGTAAACATAAAAAATAGCTATTATGAAGTAGGCATATAACTTGACCATCCTGACTTACCCAACAGAGGTATGTACAGACTATAATATTTCAGGTTCTCCTTACAATAGAGTACCAGACTTTAACAGTTTCTCTTCACCTCATGGGACTCACGGAAATCTTTGATAAAATATATATAACGTCTTTAACAACTCACCTAATACACATTCTAATATAATCAAGCTATAATCCTATGTGACACAATAATTAACTATAAGCTTAGACTAACTCGTTAATAGTTACACACTAGCTCCATGGGCGCAGCCATCTTATTCACTTTGTTTACATATAGCCCCACCATCGGCCGCTTATCAACTCTACTTTCTTAATGGATAACTGCGAGAGCAACCATGTTCTACAACACTGGACACCCCGTATTCTAAACTTCTAACATAATTTATCTTTCTTCTAATAAGTTGCATAATGGATAAAACAACGTTGTAACTGATTAACAATAATTTTAACAATATATGATAAACCTTCAATTTCTATGCAGTAGCTATAAACAATGAAATCATAGATTATACTTTGAAAGAGTCTCAGCCTGCCTACGACGACGGCCTAGCTGCACCCTAAAGCAAGGTGACCTACATTATGCTGACAGTTCAACACGAAGTTAGGCTTCGGATTGCAGTAATTATTGCCTATATATATATATATATATATATATATACTGTGATATAAAAGGTACCGAGTGGAGCTTACCTTTATCCAATAGGATGTATTCCTAGGGCGACAATTCTCCAATAATATATATCAATCACAATATAGTACACACCGTATATAGTACGGTATATACCTTGTATAACAGACCCGGACACCAGATACACATAAACAATCCTGTGATAGGGTTAATGATGCTCTCAGCATAAAGTCCAGTGTACCAGGGTTGCCAGATAGTCGACAGGCTTCACGGCCAAACACACGCCATCTTACGGCCAAATTCGGCCAAACTTTTTTTCGATATCGGCCAAAATTCGGCCAGATTTTAATCCGATTAGAAGACAACAGTGGGTACATTTATTTGAAATACTACAAAAATTATACGAAAATCAGCGGTCATTCGTTTGAAATTGAAGAGATTCAAATGATATACACAGAACAATGTTAAACATATATAGCCATATTCATTTGTTGCTAGCATGCAGGCCAATTCAGGGGAAAATCCAGAGATGTCCGAAAGGGGAGGGCCGGGGCCGAAAAAAGGGGAGGAAGGGGGAGGGGGTGCGAAAGTGGGTCCGATCGAGATAACACCATCTCAGAGGAAATTTGTCTTTTCTAGACGCCCGAAAAATAACCTGATGCATTTGAGCGATCAATTTTTATTTATTTTTTTTTTACCACCCCTCCATCTGCTATTTAAAATCACAATATTAAGATTGATCTAAATTTGATTTAAATGTATTAAATATTAATGTACATTGTAGTCTATCTATAGCAAAAATGTTAAAGGCCTTTATTGGCAAATCTGTGGCTCTCTTTAATTAGAATGAATTAAGTTACATAGTTAGGTAACACAAACTGGCGTTAAAACAAACCTATGAAAACTTTAATAAATACTTTTTATTTAAACTTTCGAAATTCGCCTCTGAATGCTATTGTCGCAGTACTTAATACATATAATCAATGTTGCTATCAGAATTATCTTCTTCATTCTCATATGCATCCTAACTCCAGAGTAACTTTGAAGAAGTCTTTGCAAAACTTGCTTGAAATGGGAGATGCCATCGGACCCGAATGATCACTGTTATGGCCAATTAATCAATACGGACGACGTTTACTCAGACTGACAACTTCCTTTTATTCCAGTAACGCTTGTACATATTTACTCACGTGTAATCATGGAGTTATTAGTTTAACCATATTCCGTACATGAACTATTCCGTCATTCAGTGGGTTAGTCAGTCAGGTAAAGACGGTTTCTGCCCTGCTATATTCAATCGGCCATATTTTCCTTGTTTCCGAACTCAAGTCCCACATAGAGGGCTCACTACTAATATTAATGAACACAACATCCCGGGGCCCAGTTGCTCCTGTAAAAAGCAACGACCTTACTATTATGTGTTCAACAACATATCATAACTATCCATCTAATAGCGTCATAACCGTCATTTACCTTCAAACCTTCTTAAAACAAATTAATTAAATACCAACAAGAACACTAAAACGAATATTAAAACCAGTTATAATGTATCTAAAGTTATTTCAGTCTCTATAATTAAGACAAATGGAGAATCACAAGTTTAACTATCGATTAAAGTCCACTGATTAA